CTATCTCCAACCCTTAAATACCCATAGAATCTCTTATATATTATTATAATAATTTTAATGTAATTTAGTGATTTTTTTAATTTTTAAATGTATAAAAATTTTGAACCGTTTGTCAAATGAGTATTTTAAAAATACGAGAGTTACTAAAAATAAGAAAGGAAATTGGGATAAATAACTATAAAAAACATATATATCTAATAATCTACCAAAAAACATTATGTGGTCAAATCTTAATCACTAAATTTAGAGATTTTAGTTAGATTATTAGATAACATTTTTTTGTTATTCAACCAATTGACCCAAAAAAAATGAGTTTGGTTTTTCATTCTAATAAAAAACAAAAAGCCAATCACATGTTTACATGCGTCGATTTGTTTTTTTTTTCCTCTCAAAAGAAAAGTTTCATGAAATTAGACCGTTGAAGCTAATTTTGGAGTTTTTGATTAAAAAATAGCTTGAGACCAAGAGAAAAGAAAGATCACAAGTAATGTATAAGCGTAAGAAGCAACTCGACAAGCTACCAAGGGAGATAAGTTGTGGAAGAGAAGCTCGGATCACAATTAGATGTTCTTGCCTCAGTTGTATTCGACATTGATATTAACAAGGTTACCCCAAATCTACACAAATCTCATTGCCAAAACCTCAAATCTTTTGAGAGGAAGAGAAAAACAATCTAGGATTTGTTTGTCCAAATTGATTTGGAAAAAAATAACAACCTTATATTTTCGTTAACCGATGTTAATTTCTGTTAATCTGAAATTAAAAAATTTTCTATTTATTAAACTGACAATTTTATTTAATTGAGTATTTTTTAGGAAACCATAAAAGTTCATGTATTTTTCTACAAAAAAAAATAATTTAGATGGGTTATTTTTCGGATTTTTCCCTAGATTCAAACACAATTTATCAGAAATAGGTAATCGAGAGAATTTTAGTAAAAATTCACGGCAAATATCTTATACTTCAAAAAAAAAAAAAATTATCATAGTATAGTTTATTCGAACACAATTTCGGAGCACGGAAATAACCAGAAAATGTTGCAGATGCTCTACAAACTACGTCGAATGATAACAATTAAACTCAGAAAAAATAGAACGAATAAATCGTATGGAACAATAAACTTAAAAAAAGTAAAAACTAATAATGTTAATTAACAAATATATCAAACTAAAGGTGAACACACTGCAGCAAAAAAAAAAAATATGAACTACACAAGCCCACGTGAACACAAAACGCCGCGTTTCGTTCACTTAAGTTATTACGATTTAATTTAATTAATAAATAATAAAGTCATTCATCACCAACAGAATAAAATACCTCTTCTTCTTGTTAAACGTTCTCTGTTTCAAAACTTCACCTCCAAATCTTTCGTTTCTTGATTCTGAGAAATCAATCACACATCTTCTTCATCTACCTTACTATTCTCTCACATATCACTTCTACTTGATTTATTTCATCTCAATGACTTCAATTAGTGAAGAAGAAT